AGTTGCTGGATTATGTGCAGCAGAACGCAAAGGTTTCTTTTGAAGTAGAAAAGCCTATAAAGGGAGGTGGAAAGGAAATAGAAGCTCTGAAAATAGAAGGGATATTTCAATTCCATCTGTTCCTATTCAGCAATATTTGCATACCTGGCTCAGTTTGTTCTAGAATTGAGTGTCTTTATTTTTTTGGTTTTAGCATGTTTCTGAATTATAGCCCGGCATAACAGAGTTGAGAAAAGGTCATTTACATTTCTAAAAAGCATGTGCTTTTAGAAAAAAAAGAAATTCTACTATTTTGCTTTGGGGCCACACATCCCAAGATTCTAACAAGTGCTATTTTGAAGGGTTAAAGCTGTTAAACAGTTCTTTTGTAGAAAAAAGATGAAGAAATAATAACTGATTCAGGAAATGATAATGGGTTGAGGATTGCTTCACAGAAAAGATTTACCAATTACCAATTACTTCTGGGTCTCCCTACTTGTCCCCACATAGTGTATATGTATGTGTGTGAGCGTTCATGGCGCCGTCTGGAAATGGACCATGATTTAAAAACCAAAGAGCAGTGGCCTTTAAAGTTGAGGACAGCGTCTTGGTTCCTGGTTCCAGTGTGGCCTTTTCTCTTTTCCGTTTCTTCGTGTGCAGTTTCCCAGGCGTATTTCCTCTTTTTGGCTCTCCGCCTGCATTTGGGCAAGCCCTTCACGTTCTATCTTCTATGCAGTTTTAGGAGGGTGAGGGGACAGTGACACAGAGGTTGAGAAGAGTGAGTAAAGAGGGTTCCCAAGGTTGGAGAGGAGCCAAATTTTAAAACAGAAAAAGGAAGACGGACCGAAAGCTGGCAGGGAGGGTTGGGGCAAACTGGCTGAAAGACACAGATAGATGGAAACAAAACTTTTGATTAAAAGGGTCCAGGCAGCTGGGCCCTGGGTCTCTGTTAAGGAGTTTGACAGCCAGCTCACGATAACTGGCAGTTCTCGGGGCTCTCAGGCTTGACACCCAAGTGATGAAGAGTAGCTCAAATTCCAGAAAAAAAATTCAAAGCCCTCTCTTCTTCCAGCCCCTTCAGATTCACTGTGCTGTCAATGGGTTTGCCTTCTTCTGACATATACTGAATGCAGCTAAAATGCAGTTTTCAGCAAAAACTACTCCCCGTTGTATATACGCACAGGTGCCTGTGGGGTACACCTGGGAAATAGCACCTTGGAGTCTAAACCTGCAGGCAAGGAAAAAACAAAACAAGCAAATAAATCAAAAAACCAAACAACAAAACAGAAGAAAACAGATTTACTGCCACTTGCTGTCCAGAACTTATAGCTTTGTCTCAAAGCTTTAAACCAGTAACAGATGTGGAAAGGAAAACTCAAGAGATGGATGGGGTGGGTAAAGGAGCCCATGCATCTCTTTGTGAGAAAGGTGAGGAAGGAGACCGTCAGAAATTCCCCAAGCTTCTCTCTGGCAAGAAGAGTTGGCTGGAATATAGCAGTAACTTCGCTAGCAGGTTCAATAAGGAATAGGAAACTTAGAAGGGGAGCAGTAAAAAGAGCAAGAAACTTACAAGTGGGGCACCAGAGGAGAACCGTCTTCCCAGAGCCACAAGTTGCTAGGTTTCCTTAGAGACAATCCTATCCAGAATGGGAAATTGGAATGAGAAATTGCTTGCTTGATGAAGTCCTGTGGAGAGAAATGTTTCTGAGTGAACGATGGAATCAACATGGTGGTTTTAGAATTGAAAGTCAGTTAGCATTAGATTCATACAACTGAAGAACCAAAAGGGATTTTTGATATCCCCTTGATGATATTATGGAAATATTTCCAGAACCCTAGAGACACTCTGTAGCCTGCAAATTCAAGGTCATAGACATAATTGGTGGCCAGATCAGGCTGAAAGCCAGGTATGCTGGCCCTCAAACAAGGACTCCTCCACTGATGGTCTAAACAAGGTATATTTCCCTAACAATCAATACTCCAGGCCAACAAACATTCACAAACACTCACCAGGTCACCTGTGCTATTAATTTTCAGCAGCTGAGCATCCAAAGACAAGCAGTTCTCTTGGCTTTTTTCCCAGTTAAATGGCCCAGAGGAAAACAGGTAACAGTTTACTCCATGCCAGATCCAATCTTGAGGACAAGGAACTAGGATGGGTAATACGTCCAATGAGTTAATGATGTCTGAGTAAGAGTATTTCTGTAATTCTTAAACCAATTCTACTCTTAGTCCTCTCACAGGCCTATCATGTCTTCTTCTTCTTTTTTTTTTTTTTT